GTGACTCACACATGACAATATCCTCAAAACTAAGATACTAATGAAAACTAGTTATTTAGAGTTATTTCTGTTTATTTACCAGAAAACAGCTGCCAGTCACCGTGCTCAGATCAGTTTCTTTCTGTGCACTGTAACTTCCTGAAGGATTGGAGAACACAAACTGAGTGACCACTTTACTGCCTTCTTGTTGTTCCACAACATCCAGGCTAGGAAGCAAAGTTTGCTCTGCTTTACTTGGAGCTAATAATTCAGATGTATTGTTTCCACCAAGGCTGCTGGAAGGGGTTAAAGTGGCTGTGTCTACTGATAAGTTACTGCTAGAGGTCAAACCATGCAAGTCTTGACTGGAACTTCTTGTTGCCAAAGATGCTAATGAGCCTAAGGCTTCTGCATTCACAGTCTGTACTTCATCCAAATTTAAAGTGCTTTGCTGTAAAACTGTGGTGGTGGTTCCCAATAAAAGAGAGCTATCCAGGCTGTGTGGAATGTCACTACTAGCCACTAAAATCAATGGGTCAACTGTTTGAGCAAGGGAATTGCTACTGACAGAAAGACTGCCTCCAAGTGTAGAACCTACTGAAGCAACATCTATAGTGAGAATTCCAGAGTTTATTAGAGCCATATCAGCTGAAATTCCAGAGGAGTTCCCAGATACACTAGAAAAAAGGGACACCAGATCTACATTGCTGAGGTCGCTTTGGCCTGAACTGGCAAGTTCACTGCTGGGTGTGAGGGAACCAATGGTTTCCATCTGATTTAATAGATCTGAAACAAAACAAAATAGGCATACTTATTTTATAAGTCTAACTAGTTAATATGACAGATATCCCGAAAGTCTTACCTGTTTCCTTTCCCTCTAACTTGGCTACATAAACTCATCCCAAGCACCTATAACTCCCTCTTCTAATCTAAGCAGCCAACATTACCTTCAACAAATTTGGCAGAAAACAGTGGTGTCAGAACTCAATGCTACTATGCTGTGGTAGTTATAGTTTTAATTTGCTAGGATTTCAGATCATCTTTACTTCCTGTTAGTAAACATTCAGATCTCAACAATGTGCTATACATCCCTAGCAATATAGTTGGTGCTAAAAATGATTTTCACACAGCTGTCAACATGCCAGCAGTGTTTACACAGCAGTGAGGGGAGGCATTATGGTGTAAGCCCCACCCTTCTGTATGTGTGTTATGATCTCACACTACATATAAAAGGGCAGACCTTAGCAGTGCTATGGTATAAGCCCCACCCCTTCTGTATGTGCATTGTGATATTATACTACATATGAAAGGGCAAAATGTAACACTGCTTTTGTCATTCTCAGCTTGCTAAACTAGAAAATCAATTCACGCAGAGTAATAGTTACACAGAGTTTCTACATGAATTATTCAGAAGACATTTCCAGTAACAAATAAGGCATTTGTAGTAGTACCAACTGAGAAAACTCTTGAGCAACAACCCAAACAAATGATTGTTTCACTGCACACGCTTAAGTAACCCATTTTTACTGCATTCAGCTTTTATGTTTCTCCTAGTATACCCAGTTCTTGCTCCCATATAACAAAGTGTCAGAATCAACTTTGCTTTTGATAGGCATTCATTCCTTGCAACAGACTACTTAAAACTCTACACTCATATTCCTATCTTTCATAAACATTTTATCAAGGTTCAAGTATTCATTTACTTGCTCTTATTTTTGCCATTTAAGTATAACCTGCCATCATTTACTTCATTTTCTTTGTTAAATACAACTAATTTGGTCTTCAATACATTAATTTTCAGATCCACAGTCCTTATCATAAAATTGCCACACAGTATTGTCTGCCTATGAAAGTACACACACACGTACTTCCCCAAACAATACCACTTAACATCACTACAATCTCTTCTTTATTCATTTATCCTTAAATACTCAAAGAGATATCACTCATCCTTGGCTAATTCCCTGCTCAATTCTGAACAATCTGCTAAGCATTCCATTTATTATTACTATTATTTATTATTATTACTGTTTTATTTCCATCATACACCATTCTTACTACATTCAGCAACCAATCAACACCATGTTGACATAAAATGTTCTATAATTCAAACCTATTCATTTTATTATATGCTTTCTATAAATCAATAAACAGTAAACATTCCTTCTCATATTTATACATACATCATGTACCTACAAAAGAACAAAACAGTCACATAGCCCCAAATTACTAGCTTCAGTGAAATAAATAAATCAAGTAATATTTTTGCAAAGGCTTTAGATATAACACATTCTATACATTATTCAAATCCACAGATAACTCAAGAGTCTTCTATAGTTAGCAGTTCATACCTGCACTAAAGTTGTGTTGCTTGACCATATGTGTTTTCATACTATGCTTTGAATTGAACAATTTGCTACAACTGGATACAGGGCAACGCATCTTCAATGAGTCCACATCCTGAAGGTGTTTTTTGGAGTGAATGTATAGACTACTGCGTGCTGAGAACTTTGCACAACAACCTGAAATATACAACAACTGGATCATATGAATATAATGTATACTTATAGATGCAAACCGTACTATAAAGTCTCCTGTGAGATTGCAGGCAGACCAATACCTCACAATCCCTTACTTCTAGGCCTCAGTGTTTTGGTTCCCCAGATATTTTCACTTCCAATTTTCAATGATTTATAGATAAAGCCCCAGCCAGATGACAAAGCTAAGAAACTACTAAGGATAGAAAGCCAGTTTGAGTTGGTTGTATGCACTGTATTGGGTCTGCCACATTTCTGTACAGAGGAGCAGGAAGGAGAAAGGTAAGCATTGACAGCAAAAATGACTCCTGAAGTAATGAGATCTTATGAATCTTAGAACAAAAGCTATAAATGGGATACCAGTTTCAGAAGCTTCTGAGAACCCTGCATATAACTCTGAGCCAAGCTGACTAAAATAGCTGCACCACCCAACTAAGATGATATTTACCAATGCAGTGGAAACTTTAAATATAGCATAGAATTTAAATCTCTGTCCTGCCCCCTGCCCCTGCTCCAATTTTTTTTTTGTTTTTTTACTGGTGGACATCTATAATCCCTAAAAATGAAAAAGAAGTCTTGAAATTAAATAGTTTTGGAAAGAAAAGCATGCCTTTGGAAGAAAGATTTAGTTCCTTCTTCCCACCTATGTTGTGCTTTGAAGGTATCTTCCTTCCTGTCATGGGATTCAGTAGCAATCCAATCCTGATCATCTGTCTAGGTAATTGGATATACTCTGGTCTTCTATACATAACAAGCAATCTATGAGGAAATAGAATCAAGTGTTTAAGTAATACCTTCTACAGGACATTCAAATGGTTTTGTACCAAGATGAGTTATACTATGGCCTTTCAAATGTTCTGCTCTTGTAAAAGATTTTCCACAGCCTTCTACAGAGCATGTAAATCTCCTGTCATCTTCATGTTTCCTACAACAGTAATTAAACTGACATTAACATCAAGGACTAAGTACACAGAACTGAGAAAATCACAAATCAATAGATTGAAGACTGATAAGATTTTAAACCCTCAGATTACTACACTTAAAACTTTGCTTTAAAAGCACTTTCAAGGAACTCCAAAAATAATGTTTTAGCTAAGCTGACTGCCTCAGCTCAATTTAAACAAAGTCTGTTTAAGTTAAGAGCATTTATTCATGTTCATTTTCTATTTCTGAATTTATAACCCCCCTTCTCAAAATGTAAACTGCAGGTTCTTTGTATATAGGTTGTGTACAGTCAATGATTTTCAAAACAATTAGTTGGAACATTTACCTTTTATGCCTTAATAGCTTAGACATGCTGGTGAATGACCAGCCACAACCTTCAAAGTCACAGATGAAAGGTCTTTCTCCTGAAAAAAAGGCACACAAAAATTGCAAATACAAAAATTAGCACATTCATTTAAAAAAAATCCCTAATCTGATTAAAGAGTTCATATTCATTAACTTCTTTATACTGACGATTTTACTGATCAAACTGCTTTACGAGCTACTGTTAAAGCCTTATCTATAAATAGATCACCAGTTTTTAAGGATGGCATGATCATCCATCCAATCAGCATAATTGTTTTTTAAGTCAACCACATGTCAACGTTAACAGTGTCCTAGTTCACACCTGTGTGACTTCTCATGTGGATTTTCAGTCGGCAAGCTTTGTCATACTGCTTGTTACAGCCTGGGAAGGAGCACGAAAACAATTCTTGTTCCCTGAAGTGGACTCGATTATGAGAAAATAATGCACTCACTGTTATGAAGGTCCTCTCACAACCTGGAGAAAGAGAGGGAAAGTGAACTGTGTTTCAGCAGGAAAGCAGAAGCAAACAAAGTGGCTTAGGTAGCTCAAAACAATATGGTAAATATGCATAGTAAAAACAATACAGATAAATAAAAACACAATTTTCAAAAGCAGATTACTTCCTAGCACCATATGCTGGGAACAGCCAATAGAGGAATGTCTTCACGTTCAACTTCTACAACTTCTTCCAGTTAAATGTTTTTGAAAACAGCATACTAGAGCAAGCAGACTTATTCTGCTCTAAGCACCTAAGTTACAATATAAGAATCTATTATCTGACTTCCGTTCTACCGCAATATGGCCACCATGCTACCTAGAAATGATAGAAGTGGAGATCCAGGATTTGCAGAGGACACTACAATGGGAAAGAATGCATTACCAATTCCCATCAAATGTTTCCTCCTGATAACTGCTATAACATTAAACTAGAAATTAGACTTGTGACAAAAATTCCAAAGAATTGTAAATTTACACATCATTTTAAAAATCAGTGTACCACAATGGAAAGTATATTGGATTCAGGTCAAGTAGATCTGGGTTCAAATAAGTAAAATTATGGTAAGAATCTAGAGAGGTAAGAAACTTCCGAATGTTCTCCTCTCTTACAGTCAGAATAGTCACATCACATTTTACAAAATTGTATTTTCTTTTCCAAATAGTACTCTTTGCATTAATTATGGATTCAGCTGTGGTAGTCCACAAAGCTTTTTTTTTAAACTTTCTATGTTAAATCACTTAATTATTTTAAAGAGTATATTTTATTTAAAACTCTATTCAACAAAAAAGGATTCTTTTCTATGTCAACATGCATAGGATTGCACTGTTAGGCCCTCCACAGTTCAGAAAGATGTCAGTTCATATGAAAGGTCACAGAGAGAAACATTCATGGGTATTTTCTCTGATAATATCAGAGTTCAACATATAAATAAAAAGAAAAAAGAAAAAACCACTGCAATTCACACCATAGTATTAGTTATACAAAACAGTTTCAGTCTTGAACTAATTACTTATTAAGATCTCCATTGTATTGTTACCTAGTTACACACACACACACACTAGGTAACAATACAATGGAGATCTTAATATTAAGTAATTAGTTCAAGACTGAAACTATTATCATATAACTAATACTAGTTATAGTAATACTACTAATAATGTGAATTGGAGTGTTTTTTTTCTTTTTTATCTTACACAGGTAGTCCTTGGCTCATGTCCATTTATTCAGTGTCCATTCAGTTATGGCGGTACTGAAAAACTGGACTTATGACCAGTCCTCAAAGTTCTGGCCACTGCAGGGTCCCCACAATCACGATTGCAATCCAGGCACTCAGGTGCCTGGCTTGCGATTATGACATTGCAGCAAGTCATGTCACATGATCACCATTTGTGATCTTCCCTGCCAGCTTCCACAAGCAAAGTCAATGGGGAAACCAGCAGGGAAGGTCACAAGTTGCCCCAGTAAGTTGCTCCTGCTTTTTCTCCTGAGGAGCTTGCTATGGAGTATGAGAACCCAGGGATCTCATACTTTGTAGCACCCCCTGCCCACATTCCATAGTCCACGCCCGCCCGCAGAACCTCTGCCATCTACCGCCCTCTGCTGGCCCTCCCATGGGCTCCATCAGCCCCTGCCAACCTACCCTTAACATCTGCGCCCTCCTCCACACTCCTTATCTGGGGCTCCCACCGCTTTCCACTTAACAACCCACATATCCTGGGGTTAGGACAGCAACCAGGACTGCTGTCGCTAAGTGATGCAGTCATGTGACACTGTATCGTTTAGCAACAGCAATCCCGGTCTCAATTGCAGTTGTAACCTGAGGACTACCTGTACTCAATTTTGGATGAAAAGTTAAATAAGTTTATACTTGTAACATGACATTCTAAATGGCAATTAATACTGATAGAATTTTTACTTTTCTTTTTATTTTCAATACTTCGAGCTTTTTAAATAATAGAATGTTAATAATTTTTAATCATATTATATTAACATTACGGCATCGAAATCATACAATGTATCATTATTTACAACATTATAATGAAAAAAAGTATGTTTCTGGCATTAACTGGAATGCACACGTTTTGCAGACCGAAGATGTGTAGCGTAACTAGAATAAACAGTTGATTTAAAATACCCTTCCCTTTCCCAGTTCAGTCTAGGTTACCTGGATACTCGCAGCGGTAAGGCCGATCTGGTTCCAAGTGGCTCCGCCGCTGTTGCGCCCCGAGACGGGCAGCGCTGGGGAAGCGCTGCC